CTTGGCAGCATGAAACAAAATTAATATGTTGTAAATTTAATAGGCTTTAAATAAATATGTATACACTACACAATTTTATTCATGAAATTTTCGAAAACAATTACTTTTTTTAGTAAAACACAAATGGGTACCGCATTTTATACAATAAACATGTGTACGTCCTGTACAACCTTCAAACTTGCACCGTATTGCTTCTTTTCGATCATCGTACTCTGGATGGTGTCCGTATTGATCTTTCCTTACTTCTTCGAGCGGTCTTTTATCGACGTTTTTTGGTGATCTAGTTGGAGTTATATTTATTGAATCGGAACTACTGGGGCGTCCTCTTCGTTTTGATATAGGAGTTGAAAGACTACCAATCATAATTAAACTTTCGGCAAGGTGTTGTTTAAAATGTATCAAATCCATAATTTCTTTTGTAGGAATTTTAAGGTTTATTGCATCTCTTTTGTACTCGAGCCACGAATTAACTACTGCCATATCAAATATGTGAAAAAGCATACGTAAAGTCCACTTTTTGGATTTAATAAACGTTCGATAATAACTTACCAGCTGGTCGTGTTTGTCTACACCACCCATACTTTTATTGTATAAATAAACAACTTCGGGACATTCAATAAAAACCAGTGATTTTTTTTTACGATCAAATCTTTGTACTATAGTTGGTGTTCCCGAAGAAATGAAATTTGATCCGAGCTGTACAGCTTTATTATCGAACCACTTTACCAAAGCAATATTATGATTTGAACATATCTCGAAACTAGTTCCTCGGCCCATTTTAGCTAGTTGTTTATCTTTTGGAAACGGGGGGTTATTGAATCTATTTATTCGGATTGTTCCAGCAGCAAATATTTTATACTTTAATAAACAGCAAAATAAGTTGTAAGAGGAGAAAAAGTTGTCAAAAAATAAAAAGTGTTTGTTAGGCTTTAAATTTTCAACCAATTTTAAAACGATTGCTCCACCTAGACCAAAATTTTTTTGCATATTTTCATCGATTTGTGTAGACGATCCTTGATATAACAAAAGATTATAGACTAATCCACTTTGTCCACACAACAAAAAATTTTTTATTCCCCACGGTGATGGTTTACCTCTAATATATTGTTTTATTGATAAATTTCCTTTAAAAGGAACAATTTGTTCGTCCACACTTAGATTTTGTTCAACAGGTAACTGGGCACAGCGTTTAATAAATGAATTATACAAAGGACGAATTTTCACAAATTTATCGCTGTTTTCTTTGGGTATGGCTTTATTATCTACGACATGGAAACAACTGCGAAGTTCAAAAAGTCTATTCCTGGTCATGTTATCCGCGATTAAAGGCACTCTAAAATTTTTTTCCCAATACATCCTAACTCTTGGATATTTTAGAACACCAAAAAGCATATGTATTGCAATCATAGTTTTCATTTCATGAGTAGAAGTATTTTTAAAATTTTTCAAATTGTTCTGAGCAGCATATATATTTGTATATTTTGCCATGTTTTTGAAATAGTCATTAGAAAAATATTTAGTAAAATAATCAATTGGGTTTAAAATATTGGTCAAAACTGGCGGATTTAAATCAGATTGTATTGTAAAAATTGGAGGAGAAAACGGAACATTTTTCCAAAATATATTTTTTTTTAATATTGGAATAAATCTAGACCACTTTTTTGTACTAGTATCAGAACCTAATGTAAAAGAAGTTGTATTTTGAATCGGCTGAAATGATAAATCTAATGGAACTACACTTTCATTTATTTGTTCGTTCACCTGAGAGGCTTCGGGTTCTATTTCTATTTGTTCATCAGCTTCATCTATTTCAACCAAAAAATCAGCCAATCCTTGAAAGTCATTATCGAAGTCGTCTAAAAGATTCTCTAATTCTCTATCAGGAAAATTGGCTGTAACATCTTCGTCACTTGACAGTGATGATAAATCAGAATCAAGACCAGTACCAAGTAACCTAACAATATCTTCTTCTCGAATCATTTTAAACTAACTAATAGTCTACTGTAAAAAGTGTAAAATAAATACAACAACAGCAACACAATAAAATATACGATCTACAAATATTTTAATTCGTGTTAACTGACAACAGCTAAATAAAAATTGATAAAAATTCAATGTAACATAGAGTAATATTACTCTATGCAATGCAATAACGGACATCTGATAATATAATATTGTATCAAATTCATTCGCCTAATCCATATAGTAATAATATTACTCTATGGTCTAATCCCATTGCACATTGTAATGTGCATAGTTCAGCGCCTAATATCGTGAGAACGGTTATAGATACTAATCATTTGATAAGAGGTAAACTTATTCATGTGCTATTTATTTGTATTAATATTGTGTCACGGTAATTTTGAGGTTATCAAGGAACGTTAAATAAATAAAATTTAAAAAAAAAAAAAAAAATCCAAAGACATCTTATTTTTCTTGATATTTTATAGAATCTCACCGTGTTAAAAGGTAAACAAACTTGTGATTACACTGAAATCGAAAATATCACGTGTTCTAACATATGATACAATAATTTTAATCAACTTAACTCTTATCAGTAATTTTATATTAATTATTCAATTGTATGCACATTGTAATGTGCCTGGGGTCTGAAAGGGTTTTAAGCCATGATTTTTAACAACTCGGGAACCAATTCGGATGTACCTACCCTTTGTACCAACCCGAGAACCAATTTGGATAATCCGAAGGGAACTT